AAGTCAAAACGTGCCGGCCCGCGTGTGCGTGGGGCCAGGGCTGTCCCCGGGCAGCCGGGCTGGAGCGGAAGCCCTCGTCCTGCCTTCCCGTGGGCTGCCTGTGTGACTGGGGCAAAAAACAAATGGGCAGAGGAGCAAGCAAACCTCTGAGGTTTTGGGAGATGCTGACTTGGCCTGTGCTGCTGTTTGGGAGCGAACGGTGCTGCGAGTCAGGGGGCTGGCTGGAAACGCTGCTGTCATCCCCTGCCGCATTCCGTGGGGGTGTGGGAAACGCACGATTTGGGGGATTAGGGTGGGGGGAGCCTCACGTTTTGCTGAGTGTGTTGGATCAGTTGAGGAGTGAAGGCTTGAGCATGGGTTCAAGCAGGGGCCCGGACACGGGGTGGGCTTGCCATCACCTGGACCAGTGAATGGTCAGCACCATCCCTGTGCAGATTTTGCCCAGGATGGAGCAGAATGGTCACTGGGGGCTCTGGGACGGACAGGATCCGCGCCGTGACTCCTGCCACGGGACAGGGCAGCACGTGCCATCCCGAAAACAGTGCTGGCGTGTCTGCACCGTGCCGCGGCGCTGGCGGGGCGGAGAAAGGGGGGTTGTGAAGACGGGTTGGGTTTGGCAGAGAGCGTGGTCGGTGGCTTGGCCACGGCGGGTTTCCACTCCTCTTCAGCTGCGTATTAATTTAAGATGGAGAAACTCAAGTCTCCAGCAAGACGTCTGGGTGTGCTCGGTTACAGCATCTCGTGTGGCCTGAAGGGATGTCCCCACCCCGAATGTGTCGCTACTTTTTGGGGACAGGTGTGATGCGTGTGCACACAGGAGCCGGGTGGGGGGGGGGTCACCCAGTGGGGTGATGCTCAGAGAGGGCAGGCTGTCCAGCTGTCTGTCCATCGTGCCTAGGAAACGGTTAACGCGGCGCAGCCCTGCCTGCGGAGGAAGTAGTTAATATTCATAGCTAGGAGCTGTCTGTCCTGCTGTCCTCCCTCCATGGCTCTCGCCCTCCCCGCACCTCGCTGGGGTTAACCCGGGCTGAGGCTTAGGCTTGGGCGGCCCCCGGCTGCCTTCCCCCAGCCTCTCCCCCTCCCCTCCCCCT